TTTAACCCGCTGCGCCACCAGGGAGGGCCGAGGAGCATATGTTTTTATAGTTTGATTTGACTTTCCCTATTGACTAAAGTTGAGGAATAATATACTTAATTGCCATGTGTGCATAGTCCTTGTTAGGAGAAAAGGCCAAAAGCCCAAGTAGCCTGCCTGGTGCTAGCGTGCCACCGAGCCTCCTCTAGAGCAGGTGAGAAAGGGTACTTGATTCAGTGAGAGTAAAAGCCCTAATAGCCCCTCCGCCACACACACACACACACACACACACACACACACACACACACACACTCCTCAAGACTTACACAACAGAGGAGAGTATTACTCTTGCAATAATGGTTTTGGCTTACTAAAGCCAAAACCAATGTTATAAATATCAGGAGACATAAAGCTCACTACTTCTGCATCTCTTTAGGCATTGATATTTACCAATTTTTCCTGCTTCCCTAGAGACAAAATACTGGTTTTAAGTTATTAGTTAGAGAATGAGAGGAAATATCAAAGATTTTCACTGAGCTTGGGGTCTCCCTAGTGGCATAAGGGATTGTCTCATCACTATGAAGCTATCCACAGCCACTGCAATGCAAGTTGGATGCCTGGCCAGGGAGCTGACCCACATGGTGCAGCAGACCTCTCCTGCTCGCCCGCTGCTCCCCTCAGTAGTGTATTTCAGTAGATCCACCTGTTCTGCTCCCCACTCTGCCTCTCATGACTCCCCTCACTCCTCCCACCTGTACTCCATACAAGTTATTGTATACATACATAAATAAAAATAAATCTTAACAACAAAAAAAGCTTCCACTGAGCTCTTCCTATCTTAATACTTAGCTCAAGGGTCATAGAGCCAAGGTGAAGATTCTACTAGTTCATGAGGTGATCTGATCCAGGATGGGATGGGTATGAAGTCTTGCAGGTTAGTTCTTTTGTACTTCCCAATCTTATCTCAGTGGCCCTATGAATGCCAGCAGCGAGTCTTAGCAGATTGTTTGAACCATAGCACAAAAAAGTTTTGAAGTTCATCTTATTCCTTGAATTAGTGATCTACACATTGAAGCTTGTCTGCTTGACATGATTCACTGCCTTTGTTACTTTACTGTGTGTTCCTGAGTTATGCATTCTTTTAAGTCTGTCTATGACAAAAGCCACTCAGTCCCCCAGAACTTGACCTCAGGGGGTACATAATTGCTGTTGTTTGCAGCTAATAACTTGATTAGCTGTTTCTCCTCCATGAACATTGGGCTGCTCTTTCTCCAATTACAAATATAAACCACCTTAACCTGCTAAAAATGGAGTTTCTGTATGACCCAGCAACCCCACTCCTAGGTTTCTACCCAAAGGACACAAAAACGCGGATTCAAAAGACACCTGCACCCCCATGTTTATTGCTGCTTTATTTACAATTGGAAAGACATGGAAACAGCCCAAATGCCCAAAAATGGATGACTGGATTAAAACAATGTGGTATATATACACAATGGAATATTACTGAGCAGCCAAAAATAAATAAACAAATGCCTTTTGCAGCAACATGGATGGAGCTGGAAAATAAGCCAGAAAGAAAATGAAAAATACTGGATGGTTTCACTCATAGTAGGAGTATAATGGACCAGGTGAGGAAATAATAATAATAATAATGAGTAGCTATATACCAGAGACATTTTATGGGGGTGGAGTGGGGGATGGGATAAAAAATGGGGGGGAGTGCACTGGACTATGGTGATGGCACAGGGGTGATTTGGGAAACCCATGGGGATTACAACTGAGATGGAAAAAATGCACAAAATTATGTAAAACAAATATAAACCAGAATCCCAGAACCTTTTACCTGATCCTGCGCACCTGAAACCCCTTTTCTGGGCAGGCCAAACAAAGGGTGTCAACCATGCCTAAGAGTTTGAGTCAGACTCTGGCCTTTTCTGAATGAGGGAAGGCATCACCAACCACTTCTCTGGGGAAATAGCCAGTCTGATGATGAGACGCAGGCTGTGCTCTTGATGAACTTCCAGTTTGATGGGGAAGATTGGTCACAAAACCAAAGAGATTTAAGAGAAAGATGAAATGGACATTGGCACAAATATGCTCAGGGTAGTGACCTTTTTGATAGAAGGAAACTGGAAACTACCAAATCATCCTCAAAAAGGAAATGATTCATCCGTAATGGTGCACAGGCATAAGAACCATGCTTTTGAAAAAAAAATAGAAAATGTGAAAATATTTCCAGTGTCATGCTCAGTGAAAAATAACTGGATGTTAAATTGCATGCATGTTATTCTCTAACTGGGGAAGACAATGGCATGTAGAAAAACAAGGAAAGACACTAAAATGTTAAAGGAGATAATAATAGTAATTGAAATACTATAAATAATAACAGAACATTCTTGGCACCTTTAATGGGAGGCCCTGGGCTAACATTTTACAGATCCTATTTTACCTAACCTTCATGCAATAACATATTATTATCATCCCCATTTTACAGATGAAGAGATTGAGGCTCAGGAAGATTAACTCCATGATGGTCACTTAGCTAATGAGTGGTAAACTCAAGTCCAGATCTGCCTAGAGTTTAAGTCCATGCTTTTAGAATGATCTTGTCTCTCCCATGTTGGGTTTATGAGTGCTTTTAATTTTTTTCAGTAGCTTCCATTAATCTTCTTAGTTTTCTACACTTGTCATGTATTTACTGATACAGTCAGAAGAGATACCTGGAGAAAAAAAAAGTGGGGTTAGGGAAAGAAAAACTAACGACAAAAACACAATAAAAAAAAAAACTCTAAAGAAGAAATACAATCAAAGACATTGTGATAAACCAAAAGCATGTGTAAGTTCTGGGAAGACTCACAGGAAGGTTCTTTGCTGTAGTTGCTTCTATCAGTCTGTGTGGCAAAAACAAAAACAAGAAACCTATGTATAAAATGCACACGCATATACATAACATATGATTATTTCACTGTCTTTGCGCCCAGGAGCCCTGTTCCTTTTATCTCGGTAATTCTTTTGCTTAAGGAAGGTAGCCTGCAACCTAAAGCTCTTAGAAATTATTGATGTTACTGCAGAGAAGAGAAACCAGTGGCCGGAAAGACTGCTGGGCTCCACAGGAAAGGAGGTTCCAGGAGGGAGTGGAGGGAGGTCTGGAGGGCTGGAGTGGAAAGGGAACAACGTGTGGAAAGGGTTTTGCTAGGGAGTTGAACAAGAGGAAGTGACAGGCGCAGTCCCACCCTCCCAACTCAGGTCATTTTCACTCGGGAGGGTGAAAATGGGTCTTTGTTCCCTTCGTTGGGATAGGGGGTGGGTGGTTCAGGAGGCTCCCTGCACCTCCCCCTGGCGGGGTCAGTCTTTCCTTACGTTCCGCGGCTGCGGGGCTCCGCCCCTGCTTCCAAGCCTCGGGGCGCTGGCCGCGGTGCTGAAGCAGCGGTCCAGTGGCTGGAGAAAGGAGGGACCCCGCCACCGTGAAGGGGCGGAGCTCTCTGGCGCTCCGCGCTGGAAAGGGGGAAGGGGCAGGGCTGAACCATCAGGCCTGAGACCCTGGCCGGCTTGAGAGGAGGCAGGAGACAGCCTGGTTAGAGCAAATACAGCCACCACCTACACAAGCTTTTCCTGAAGAAGCCAAGGTCGTCCTCCTTTTCCTATTCATCCTCTTTCCTTTACCTTGAAGGGACCTTCACCTTGTGTCTTGACTTCAGCCTTCTTCCCAAACACCCTGAAGAGTGACCCTCTTCTGGACTTCAATCTTCAAAGCTAACGACTTCCAGCTCCCAGGCTCCCAGCTCACGGCCTGGCACCCTCATCATGGTGAAGTTACTCCCTGCCCAGGAGGCAGCCAAGATCTACCATACCAATTATGTGCGGAACTCGAGGGCCGTAGGTGTGATGTGGGGCACTCTGACCATCTGCTTCTCCGTGTTGGTCATGGCCCTCTTCATTCAACCCTACTGGATTGGTGACAGCGTCAGCACACCTCAGGCAGGCTACTTCGGACTTTTCTCCTACTGTGTGGGCAATGTGCTGTCCTCTGAGCTCATCTGTAAGGGTGGTCCATTGGACTTCTCCTCCATTCCTTCCAGAGCCTTCAAGACTGCCATGTTCTTTGTGGCCTTGGCCATGTTCCTCATCATTGGTTCTATCATTTGCTTCAGTCTGTTCTTTGTCTGCAACACTGCCACAGTCTACAAGATCTGCGCATGGATGCAGTTGGCTGCTGGTGAGCTGGGTCATTGGGAGGGCAGGCAGGGGCCACAGGTGAAGACACACCATCCCACCTGCGATGGAGTCTTTGATTCCCCTACTCGTAGTCTTCCTTTAGGCCAGCCTTACCAGTGCTATGTGGAAGCTGCTAAGGAATAGAGAATCTTAAAATGTCTAAGACAATAGGGCATTAAAGGTCAAATTTTTCAACCTTTCATTTTGCAGAAGAGTAGCTGAGATCTAGAAAGGAAGAGTGACTTGCCCAGGACCACACAGCTAGTTACTAGAAGAAATCAGGTGTCCTGACTCCCACACTACCACACCAATAACTGTTGATAATCAGGAAGAAGAAAAAAAGGAGTTTGCATTGTCAGCCCTAGGGGACCCAACCCCAGGGTAGATTAATGATGCTATTTGAGCACATCTCAATGTTCCCATCTCCTATTTCCAGGTATCTGTTCTTTTTCTCCTTTAAGGATTGCCATATCCCTGCCCTCGTTCAGTCCCTTCCACACCAAACTGCTCTCAGGAAAATCTAAGTTCATTTGTTTAAAGTTTTTTTTGTGAAGTGTAACCTCTCCCATAGAATTTGCATTTAAGTCCCCTTTTCCATTGTGAAATAAAAATCTTTGTTCTCAAATTATAGAATTCCACATTTAAGACAATAAATGAGAATGATATTTGGTGATGGGGGTGTCAGGATTTTTAAAAACTATGTGGGGTTGGTACCTACTAGTGGTATCCAGAAGCAAGGCCTTCCTTGTCTCATTTCCCTATTTCTGGGCCAGGCAAAACTTTCTGTCCTTGAGCCAGCTGGTCCTTCTCTCTTAGAGCCCAAGAATATATGGGATAGCTTCTTGTCCTGCAGCTCTTGGTCACTTACTACCCCAAAGACCACATGCCAGCTGTCTGTATTGGGAGCTATAGTGCTGGGGACTGCAGACTGAAGGAAACCATCTTGATATCATGGGTTAGAATAAGAAACCGTGTTGTCCTTAACAGGGGAATAGACTAGGAACCCCTATAAATTCAAGACTCAGAGATCTGCAGCTACAGATGAAGAAAGAATCTGGGGCTGACTTGTCCAAGGATATAGCAGATCAACTGGCAAATTAAGGACAGAGGAGAATTAAGGCAAGTGGGCTCCAAGAAACTAGATGTATTTTTTAAGATTTAATTATGCATACAGAACTGGGGTACAGGTCAGAGATGCAGGGGCAGTGAGAGGATTCTCCAGAGACAGGGTGGGGAACAGAACAGGCAGATCAACAAAGTACACTGCTGAGGGAAGCACTGAGTGAGACAGGAGAGGTCTGCTGCGCCATGTGGGTCACCTACAGGGTCTGGGATTGAACTCGCACTGAAGTGGCTGCAGCTAGCTTGCAGTGCTGCGTCTGAATCCATTGTGCCACCAGGGAGGGCCAACTAGATGTATTTCAGACTGTTAATCACTGACATAACTATAATAATTCACAAAATACCTTCATTTATATCATCTAGAGGAGCCTAATCATGATTCAGTATAGATGGACCTTCCCATTTTATAAACAAACTCCCTAGTGAGTAACTTATATTTGAGAGCACAGATAGGAAAAGACGGAATGTTTGACCCCAAAGCTGTACTCAGGCTGCTTACGTGGCACCAGAACTCTCTCCCCAGTTTCCTCCCTTGGGTCTCTTATCACCCTTTTCGCTGTAGTCTCTCTATATGATGAGGGAGATTCTGGAGCAAGTCTTTGTGGATAGTGGGGAGGGAAGAGGGGGAATGAAGACTTAGCAGTTTTGTGATAGAACTGTAGAATGGGCTCTAAAATGTTCACCAGTTGATCCGCCACACCAGAATTAGGGAGTACTAGGAATACAGCTATCCCTTCTCATTCTCTGTGCTACTCTCCTCCTCTAACCTCCTACGACATGTGCCATTTGCTAAACAGGCAGTGCTGGGGGTTCTGGGAGGGGGGGCTCACTGGGCCATCTGCTGGATCATTGAGCTGGAGAGACTGATAGCAGAGGTGGCCAGGTGCCATCTCATTAAATATTTAAGTTAGGGGAAAGCAAACGTGGTGTCATTTTCCATGGAAAATGAGTCAAAGGGAGGAGGGCTGTAGGGTGTGTGCCCTGTAGCCAGCAGCTGGGAGATGTATCCATTTGAAGTGTGTGTGTGTGTAATTTAACAATTTTAATTGGTCTTCTGGATGCCAGGTGTAGGCTGAGCTTCTAGAAATACAGGACAAGTCTTTCTGAGTCTTGGTAACCTCTTTTATAGGTGTAGTAATGGTACCCCCCCATTACAAATTAGTTTTTTTGCAAGGATGGGATGATATAATACATGTAAAATAACTTGCACCATGCATGATCAAGGTAGGTGCTCAGGAAATGTGAAAAACACAGCTCTCAGACAGGATGCAGAGGTGTATTACAATAATAAAAAACACTCAAATTTGAGTGGCTCAGAGGTTTCTTTCTTGCTTGTGGCACCTCCTCCTTGAGGGTCTGTGGCATCTGCTCTCACTGTTTATTGGAAGCCAGAGAGTCAGTTTTCATATGACCATTGTCATTGCAGAGAAAAAGTGAGAGCTGCAAATTTTCCCACTAGCAATTAAATGCTCTGGCCTAGATGTGTATACATTTCTGCTTATGTTTTACAGGCCAAAGGAAATTATATGGCCTTGCCTAACTTCAAGGGACAAGGGACAGGTAGTAAAATCCTGCCATGGACATAAATCGCTCTAATGGCATCCACATCCATCATTATTTTCATCTGACTTCAATGTCAGTAATAATTATATGTGTCTTCTAGACGTGATCACACTTAGAATTCAACCCTGCTATGAGTCAAATCTTATTGACTGGGAATCAGAAAGGGTAAGTAAACTTGCTGAGAATACTTGCTCCTCTCTACATAAACCCTGAGTTATCAAAAGTGGGGTAAATCACCACTGTCTCCAGGACCAGGTGGAGACAGCTCACAGAGGGCTGTAGTTACAATACTAACAGACTCTTCCCAGGATGGAGCCCCTATAGGAACATACTGGGGAAGGGGGATGTGGCCAGGGGGAGGAATGATGGGGAGAACAGAAAGTCTAGAAGGGCTACTCCTTTCCATATTCACCTATGCACACCCTCCTCCTCTACTAAACTCAAGACCATGTCAACACCAAAAGGCTGGTCTCATACCTAGTAGGGAAGGTCACAGGTTTTATCAAAGAATCCTGGGGAGGTTCTCCTGCTCTACCCCTAAGTGTCTTCCTGAAACATTTCTCAGTAAGTCTGAGATACTCTTCAGCTCTGGGTATAGAGGGAAGTAACTTTGAAATCAAGAAAACTCAGGAATTGTGACTGGGTTGCTTGGCTTCTCTGTGACTGTAAAGGGGGCTTTAATATATGACTTTTGTCAGAATGATGAGAAACAAGATACAGGAACTTATTTTGTGATCTATAAAGGACTATATAAGTGAGCTCTTCTAAACCTTCAAAGGAGAGTTGATATGATTAGGTGACCAACTGGGACTCTGATCTTTTCACTTTACTGTGCCTCATTTGATCTGCTTACTTCTTTGCAAAACAAGTTGAGCCCAGAGTAGGTGACTCTGGGTCCTGTGAGGCACTTCTGTGAGCAAATCTTGGGTAGTGTACAGTTTTGGGACGAAGGAACTTCCAAGCCTGTGTGGGGAAGTGGCACAGGAGGGAAGGCCCCACCTGCCTGCAGGGTGGTTGTTTGGTCACATCCAGGACTATGTCACCTGTCTGTGTAGCAGTGATGGGTGGTGGTTCAGTGGGAAAGCATGGGAGAGGTTGGGGGGGGAGGGGAAAGTGGAATTTTTGCCTATAAGTATTGTCAGTAGCAGCAGAGGTGGGATCAGACTAGTTAACATGTCATCTGAGCACTTTTCCAGGGCTCATTGGAACTGCACAACCCCAAGTAGATAGGTACTATTATTATCCCCATTTTACAGATGAGGAAACTAAACAAACAATAATAATAAGTTAAGTAGGTTGCTTGAGTTACACAGAAATTAGGGAGCAGTTGGAGTTGAAATCCAGGCAGCTGTTCTAATGTTACCATTTTTTTCCTGTTGAAAGAATCACCTGGAAGAGTGCTTCCAAAAAGAGGGATTTCTGACACAACTCTGCCCAGGGAGTTGACTTTCTAGACAAATAGTCCAGCGGATTTTGAATTCAGGGAGTGTGAGCCACTGTACTGTGATGTAGTGGGTAAGGGTGCAGAGGCCTGCTTAGCTGAATGGAAGGTTCAGGAAGGAAGCAGCCAGAGACAAGGCTGGGGAAATTCCTGCATTCCTTGAATTTAAGACAGCTGAGTTGTAGGATACCATTTTCTGTATTTTTAAAGAGGAAATGTTTCTAATCATGCTATGGCCTGAAGCTTTCTTACCATACTATTTCAAAGATGTTGAACTGGGAGCAATTGTCTGACTTAGGAGTGATGAGCTCTGTGGGCTGGGATCAGATTTTGGAGGGTTTTGAAGCCAGGTGGACAGTATCTCATTGAGTCCAATGAGGAACTGGATGAAGGCCTGGTAAGGCAACCTGGAAGGGCTAACTTTTCAGACATAAGTTTCACCTTCTTGTCATAGGGCAAGGTCTGTATCATACTCTGTGGACCTCAGGAGGTGGCAGAACCCGCTCTGAGCTGAGGTCTCTGCTCCACCCTGGCTCTCTGGCTCCCTGTGCGAAGCTGCCTGGCTCTTGGAGCCTTCATTTCCCATCTTGCTTGCTTTTTTTTTTTTTAAGATTTATTTATTTATGCATACAGAGCTGGGGTACAGGCCAGAGGTACAGGGATGGTGAGAGGCTTCACCAGAGACAGAGTGGGGAGTAGAACAGGCCGAGAAAGTACACTGCTGAGGGGAGCAGAGGGCAGGTCAGGAGAGGTCTGCTGCACTGTGTGGGTCACCTCCGGGGCTGGGGATCGAACTGGCACTGAAGTGGCTGTGACTAGCCTGCAGTGCTGCACCCTAACCCACTGTATCACCAGGGAGGGCCCTCCCACCTTGTGTTCTACAACAAAAATGCTGGGAGCTGTCCCTTGTGCTGTGAAGGGAGCACAAGAAGGGCGGTGAGCAGATGACCGCAAGTGCAAGGGGGAGCACTGAGCATGCCCAACTTGATCCACTGCCCTCCTTCCACCTCAGCCACAGGTCTGATGATTGGCTGCCTGGTCTATCCGGATGGTTGGGACTCCAGTGAGGTGCGGCGCATGTGTGGGGAGCAGACTGGCAAGTACACACTGGGTCACTGCACCATCCGCTGGGCCTTTATGCTGGCCATCCTCAGCATCGGAGACGCCCTCATCCTCTCCTTCCTGGCCTTTGTACTGGGCTACCGACAGGACAAGCTCCTCCCTGATGACTACAAGGCGGATGGCAAAGGTAACTGGCCCTCCCTCAGGGAGGCAGGGCTGCCTGAGCAGGGCCTGGGGCGTGGCTCTCAGAGAAGGAGTGGGGACAGGCCAGTAGGCACTGCGCTTGCCCTGAAGCCTAAGGCCAGGGAGGGCTCTAAGCTGGCTGGTGTGGTGATGTCAGGCAGACCCATGCAGAAGGCTGTCCAGCTCAGCTGCACTCTCAGTGCCCAGCCCTGGTCCAGCCTGGGATTGGGGAGGAGGCGAAGTACTAAAGGCCAGCTCCAGCTGACGCAGGGTCTCCTGCAGGAAAGGACAGGTGTTAGTGAAGGAAAAAGAGAGAGAGAGAGAAAAGGTGAGGGGAATGAGGAGACACAGACACTTGATCAGGGTGAAAGCATCTTCTGCTGATTGTCCCAGCAGGTCTTTTTTTACACATTCCAATCAAGTAATGGGATTCCATCAGTGTGTGCCTGAAGCAAAAAGATAACAATCGTCACATTTTTCTTTAAGACAACTCAGGACTTTTTGATCTCTTATTGAAACTGTGATATTCATTCACAGAATGTTCCTATAGTGACCAGTCATTAATAAACAAAATATTCCTGTGGTGGTCAGTCATCAAACAAAATATCCCTATGGTAATCGGTAATGTTTCTATAGTGATCAGTTAGCTATTACAACTTAAGCAATCATTTTATTAACTTCTCAATGAACATACATCTTAAAGGTATAGATCTAATGTTAAGGAACTAGGAGTCAGAAAACATCAATGCTGAGTGCATCTCCCTGCCCTTAAGGAAAAAATCCCTTTTTTAAGATCTATAAAATGATCTATTAATCTATTAAGATCTATTAAGATCTATTAATCACTATTCCTGTAATTATTTTGTCAACCTAGTCTAACATAAGAATTAGGGGAAATTTTCTTTCTTTATGGTCACTAATGAAATAATAATTAATAATCCTATTAATCTTATCTAAAAAACCTTTCTTTGTGAAAAAAGGTTGGGGTGAAAGTTAGAGGAAAGAGTAGGAAAACTTATTATTATTATTTATAACTTCATTACTTAAAAGGAAACTGTTACTTAAAACTACACATCTTTTATTGGAGACTAGACAGGGAATGCTTGTCTTTGGCTCCCAGAATTCTTAGACTGTGACATATCTCTCATTATTATGGGACCTAGATTTGTGCCAGTGCCCTCAAGCAGAGGAATATTAATTATTTTATAACTGAGCCACCTGTGTATGATACTATTGTTATTAAATCAATCAATCCAATCAAGTAATTATTGATTTTATATGGAATGTATATTTAGACAATTGCTGTGCTCCTTGGGAATGGCCAAAAACGAAACAAAAAGAATCCAGCAAGAACCAGCCAGCTGTAGAATATCCTGAATTTTCAGGATTTTCTCCCACGTCAGGATCTTGTTATACAACGTGGGTCGCGTGGCTCTTGCCAGCGAAGCATTGCCTTCCCTAGAAGGAAGCACTGAGGCTGGGTCTTGAAGCTATCCTGGGAGTTTGTGAGGTGGAGAGAGGACAAGAAGGAAGTGGAGGGATTCAGTTGTTGGAGGCAAGAAGGAGAAACGTAAGTTAGGGTGCCGATATGTCAGGTCAGGATTATAGATGGTGGCAGCATGAGCTCCCTCTGGTTAGTCTGGGGATCCCCTGTAAGTCCTCTCCTGTTTCAATTCCCTCTAGTCCAAACCCTACCCCCACTTATAAAAAAAGTCAGTGGTAGCTGGTGCTTGAAAGCCAGGGGTTCCTTCAGGAAGCTGCCCTTCATTGCCTCCGATTGAGCTTTCCCTAGGACACCCGTCTACCTGTATCACCTTAGGATAGATAGGATTATCCCCTATCCATCTTGAGGGTCTAAGTTTCCAGCATATAAAGTTCATCTTCTAGTCATAGGGCAAGGTCTGTCTCACACCCTTATGAATCCAAAAATGACAACTCATGTTGGCAGAGGCCAGGTCTGGCCACGGGTCGCGCGAGAGCCCCTGGACCGCAGCAGGGTCTGTCATCAGGAAAGCGGCTTCCATCGGGGGCCAGCGACCTGAGGAGAGGGCAGGTCAAACGCCCCAGCAGCCCCACCTCGTCTTCTCAGGCGCAGGAGGTGACTGCGCCGGAGGTGTGGGGCTCCCGGGGGCTGGCACGCCCGCCGCTCTGGTTGATCTGTTTGCAGAGTGGGGCTTGTCAAGGTCTTCAGAACGCACCAGGTTTTTGCAGTTTGCTGTTCCTACCAGTGACGGAACCAGCCAGTTCCTCCCACTAGCTAGTTCCTCCCACTAGCTAGTTCCTAGGCTCCCTTCCTCACAGCATCTTCATTTCACCTGACCTAGTATTACAGGGCAGCCCATGTGAACCGGGCCACCTGTCTGTAGGGCCTCACCCGCACTTAAAATTCAGTTGTACTGCAGGTACACACAAATGGATCAAAATGGGTTTATTTACAAAAGGGGAAAAGAAAAGGAAACAACAACTGGAATATCTTACCGGCTTGGCTGACTTGGAGCTCTGGGAACAACTAACTGAAAGCCCCGAGTCATGCAGTCCTGAGAGTCATTTCCAAGTAAGAGAGCAAGAAACTAAATGGCACCCTATTTATCCCCCAAAGTCCCAGAATGCCTGCTTAGCTCCGCCCTTGGGTCCTCGCAGTTCTCTCCCTGGTACTGCTGGGAGTTGTAGTTTCCAATCACTGGAGTAGTGTGTAGGGTCCAGAAAGCTGGAGTAGGGGGTGGAGTCCATAAGACACTGCAGAGTTCTTTTAGGACATCCTTCCCCTTAACACTAGAAGCACCTCCCTTTCCCCCAGTGACCAAGAGCCTCCCCATGAGGAATTTGAAGCCTTCAAAGGAGACCCATCTTTCTAGGTACCTGGAAAGACAGTGGCTAATAAGAACCTGGAATTCAGGTCTTTTCTGGCTCAGCCCAGAGTTCACTTTTCCCTGGAGAAGAAATCGGAAACATCTCACCCTTCTTTAGAGATGGAAGAAGAGGGACTCGCAAAATTTACACGTGTGACCAAATTACTTAAAATGAGCTGGGTCAAGAAGATAATAGATTTCTTTACGTTGTAGTAGAGTGCTATAGCTCCTGGGTTTGGGAATGCTTAGAGCCTGGTAAAGGGAAGGGACATGGAATTAAAGATTTATTTATTTATGCATACGAGAATTGAGGTACTAGCAAGAGGTGCTGGGGGTGAGAGGGTTCACCAGAGACAAAGTGGGGAACAGAATAGGTAGATTGACTGAAATACACTGCTGAGGGGAGCAGCGGGTGGGTCAGGAGAGGTCTGCTGTGCTATGTGGGTCAGCTCCCTGGCTGGGGATTGAACTTTCACTACAGTGGCTGCAGATAGCTTCGTAGGGCTGTGCTTTAACACAGCCCTATGACATATAGGGACCATTTTTATCAGATACTTACAACAATTGTCTGAGAAAAGTTTGCAGTTAGGAATTCCAGCAGCAAGTGTACAACTAGACTAGTGATGGAGGCTTGTCCAGGGGTGACTCAGCAGAGCTTCAGGAGACACTTTTTCCTGGCTCTTGGCCCTAAGCAGGGCCACCCTGAAATCTGCTTGTATATACACATGCAGCAATTTTATGTTATTCATTTGCATTTTTTTCTTTTTTAGAAAGGGTTCTTTGGTCCAGAAAGAAATTTATTCATATAAATTCTCTTTCAAGTGCCCTTATTTGAATTCTCTTTTGAAGTGCTCTTGGTTTCTGGACAAATTTTTCTACTGATTAACATGTCAATTTACTTTATTTTCCTTCCCTGTCATATCTCTTGTCCTTGTCTTTTCAAACTTTCATTTTCGTATTTTAGTTCCCTCACTCTCATACAGGATTCATTATTTTTGTTTAGTGCCCTTTTGGACATATCACATAAAATTACTGAATACATCTAGATACTTAATGAAGGTCTCTATTGCTTGAAGCACAAAATTAGATCAGGGAAGCAGAAGCAGAGTTTGAATCTCAGTTCTTCCAAGTCACTTTACCTCCATTTTCTTTCCAGTAGAAATGTGGCCCCTGTTCTGCCACTTCCATTATTGTGTGACATGACTGAAGCATTGGAAACAGAAATGAAGCCTTCTGCAAGCATATGATTGCTGATCCCTTCTTTGGTGGTTGAGGCAGAGAACAATAATTATGGGCTTTAGTGTTAAAATTTTGGTTCCATTGTTAATTAGCTGTAAGGTTATTTAACTTCTCTGAATTTCACTTTCCTTTTGTTAGCCTCATTTCCATAGGAAAGGAGGTAGCTTTTCCTTCATTTGTAAAATGTACATACTTCAAACAATTATGCTTGGAAATGAGATGACATCTGCTCCTGTCACTTCTACTGAAATCGTACTAGAAATTATAGCCATGGCAGTTATGTAAGAAACATAAATTAAAGACACCCAGATTACAGAGAGTAAAGTTGAAAACTATCTCTATAAGCACTGTATCTGGAAAATTATCTGTCACTAAAAAGTGATTAAGTCCAATATATAACTTCAACAAAGTTGTGGGATATAAGAGCAATATACAAAAATCAGTTGTATTTGTACATACCTGTAGTTAAGTACTTGAAAACAAGGTTAAGAAAATTATTTAGGCCCTCCCTGGTGGCGCAGCGGGTTAAAGCACAGCACTAAGAAGTTAAAGCCACTTCTGCATGGGTTCGATTCCCGCCTGCCCCGGAGGTGACCACATGGTGTTTCAGACCTCTCCTGACCCGCCCGCTGCTCCCCTCAACAGTGTACTTCGTAGATCTGCCTGTTCTGCTCCCCACTCTGTCACTAGTGAAGCCTCTCACTGCCCCTGAGCCTCTGGCCTGTACCCCAGTTCTGTATGCACAAATAAATAAATCTTTAAAAAAAAAGAAAATTATTTAATTTATAACAACATCAGAAAGAATAAAATACTTAGTAATACATTTAAAAAATATATTTATTTATGTGTACAGAACTGGGTACAGGCTAGAGGTGCAGGGGCATTGAGAGGATTCACCAGAGACAGAACAGGGAACATAGCATGCAGATTGACAAAGTACACTGCTGAAGAGAGCAGCGGACAAGACAAGAGAAGTCTACTGTGCCATACGGGTCAGCTCCCAGGTGGGGTATAGAAATCATGCTGAAGTTCCTGTAGCCAGCTTTGCTGTACTTTAACTGGTTGTGCCACCAGAGAGGACCCAGGAAATTGCTTTTTATATATGACACAAATGTACAATTAACCAAAGGTAATAAAAAAAAGATACATTTGATTTCATCACAATTCAAAACTTGTGCTTCAAAGGACCATCAAAAAAAAAAAAAAGAAAGAAAGAAAACAATCCACAGATTGTGTGAAAATATTTGTAAATCTTACTAATAATTGTAGTATCTAGAATTTTTTAAGAATTCTTTCAAGTCAACAATAAAAAGACAAGCAACCAAAATTTTTGAACGGGCAAAGGATTTGAACAGACATTTCTCCAAAGATTGTATACAAATATCCAATGGACGATCATTAGTGATAAGGAACAGGCAAATCAAAACTACAGTGAGATACCGCTTTATACCCTTAGAATGGATGACTGTAATCAAAAACGATGAAAAATAGCAAGTTTTGGTGCCTGCAGAGAAAATGGAACCTTAATACAATGTCAGTGAAAGTGAACAATTGTACAGATGCCACTGAAAACCATCTGGCAGTTCCTCAAGTGATTACACAGAGTTACCACTCTACTTCCAGGTATTCCCACATGAACACTGAAAACAGAGGTGCACACAAAACCCTGTTCATAGCAGAATAATAGCCAAAAAGGGGAAACAGCCCAAGTATGCACCAACTGAGAACTGGACAAGAAAGACGTGTGCATCCACCCGACAGAACTTTATATAGTCAGCCACACAGAGGAAGGATGGTCACAGGCTGCAAAGTGTATGGACCTTGAATACATGTGAAGCCAGGCACAAAAGACCACATATTGTGTGATCCCATTTACATAAAATATTCAGAATAGTCAAATCTATAGAGACAGAAATAAGATGTTAGTACATGTCTGGAGCTGGGAAGAGGGAAACAGTGATTGCTAATGGCACAGGGTTTCTTTTGGGGGTGATGCAAATGTCCTAGAATTAAGTAAAAGTGACGGTTGCACAACACAGTAAATATACTAAAAAACATCAGATTGTATACTTTCAATGAGTACATTAATAAAATATATGGTGCTGATGCCTTTTCTTAAAGGAAGGGATTCTGATACCAAGACAGGCTAGGTAGTGGCATTCTCCTTCCGGCTTCCTAATCTCCCCTTTTCCAAGTGGAATGGGCTTGCATCCCACCAAATAGTTTTGCCTATTGTAAACCAATCTGTCCATCTCGCTGTGTAAAAGTGTTGAGACAATTGTGTGTACAAAGGAGTCTCTGTGTAAGCTCAAGGCTTAGGCCTTTATTCAGAGTGCTTTTCTGTGTCTGGGTCCATATGTAAAAAAACGAAAAGTTTCCTGACCTGCCTGAAAAAAACAAAAAACAAAAAACGGTGCTGAGACTGAGTACAATCACATTATAGGCGATTAATAGATAGTAGTTCTCTCCTTCTGTCTTTCCAGTAGTCACCCCTTTCCTGTCCTCCATCTGTCCAGACAACAGTAAACTCCTGTGCTCCAGTGCCCAGTGTGGGTACAGTGGGGAGTGAAGGCATCTAAACTGGACCTTACCGTCTGGGGAGGGAGACTGCCAGGCAATATGGAATTACAAACTAACAAATGTCATGAAAAAAACATGAGTAAGCGGAATTTGATCTCGTTTGGAGAGGGAGCTGTGTGCAGGGAATCATCTGGAAAACAAGCTTGATTATAAACAAGGGCTGTTTTTTTCTCTCTTTCCTTGCAGAGGAAGTCTGAGCGGCTGAAGGGTCGGTGAGTAATTCCTCTGGCGGTGGCTGAGCCTCCGCAGGGCTGTGGTGCACGCACACGACCCACGGCTGTGGGAGGCTGCCACGGTGCCCGCGGGGGCTGGAGCAGTGATGGGGGAGGGGAGAAGCCGGCTGGCACGGGAGGCCTGCACTGGGGGACAAGCGGAGCCTGTTGGCTTTACTCGTGTCTTGAGAAGTGGAAAGAAAAAAAAAAAAAAAACAGAAGAAATAATTAAAGAACAGGCAGGTGGTTTCATAATCTCATCTTTTTATGGCGTCTGGCAAACAAGAACAGATTGTTCTTAGAAGTCATTTCTGTCTCTGGTCCCTTCTCTTTTGTAAAATAATCATGGAAGAAACACTCTAACATATAAAAGCAAAATGGAACCATGTGGTCGACTAGTAAGTTATTAAGTTATTAAGCAAGAATTATACATAAATGGAACATAGACGATAATAATTATAGCAATAATAATGATAAGACATCCAGGTACATTAACTCATGTAGACCCTAACCTTCAGGATAATTTTAAGTTATTTGTAAGAAACATACCGGAAAATCTTAGTACAACAGAAAATAAAAGTCATAAAAAAGAAAGCAAATATTCCAGAAAGCTAGGTGAGTATTACTATACTCAGAATTAAATTTAGCTCTGGGCTTCCCTGGTGGTGCAAGGGGTTAAGTTTCAGCAATGTAGCTATCAGCCACCACTGCTGCCACTTCAGCACAAGTCAATCCCTGGCCAGGGAGCTGACCCACATGGCGCAGCAGACCTCTCCTGTCTCACATACTGCTCCCCTCAGCAGTAAAACTCAGTCCATCTGCCTGTTCTGCACTCTGTCTCTGGTGACTTCTCTCGTGCCCTGCACCTCTGGCCTGGACCCTAGCTCTTAAATGCATAAATAAATAAAACAAATCTTTCAGAAAAATAAATTTAGCTCTATGCTTCCCAATAGCCAAAGCAAAAAGAAAAACACCCAAGTGAACCCATTTTAGTGTCTGTTTCAAAAGGAAACACAGTGTGTTAGTTTCTTAGTTTTGTTAAGTTTCTAAAAGGTGACTTAATAAGAATATTAAGAATCTTTTTTAAAAGATAAACTACTCAATAGCATCACCACCTCCCTAGTAGCAACCACTTGTAGGGCCAGCAACTGTGTGGGCAGAAGGGATTACTCCATTTAAACTCTTATGAGTCATTCTTTGAGGGACATGGAAAGAGTGTTCATGTCTTCGCAGAACTGAATCAAAATGTAAGGGTACATTGGGGAATTGTGCGGTTTTTCTTTGTTTAAAAAAAGTCAAATTGTAACTCATTTTTTTCTTTTTTCTTTCTTTCTTCTTTTTTTTTTTTTTTTTGATACCACAGGTCATCTATTTCCTGGCCATGGAAGATAAGGGCATTGGATTCTTCAGAGATAACAGCTCCTTCCTCCCAAGCTTCCCTGTTCTTGGCTTCTGCAGGCCTGAAGCCTCGAAGCCTTTCAATTAGGATTAGATCTGACAGTTTCCCCCAGACAAGGCTTTCCACTGTATACAGAAAACTTCAGGGGAAGCAGAATGAAAGCGACCTTCATCAAAGATACTCCTTCATCAGAGATACTTGGGAGAGACCTGGGCCTTCTCCCCTGGGGGCCACATTCTCTTCTGATCACTTCCTGCCAGAGAACAGCCTAACCTCTTGAGGGTTCTCCTCTATAAGATGAGGAGGCTGGAAGTGTCCCTCTCTGGGGCCTCTAGGCCTGATGGTTGATCTGATTGGACCTCTCTGATGGGCCAGTTGACAGAGGCCACCAAGACTGCCACCCAGTTTCAACAGGGTGAAGGAGAAGAGGTGGCTATTAGGGTGATGGATCAGTTCAGAGGCTTCCTGGTGCCTCAAGTCTCACACTTTCTCTTTTTATCGTTGCTCAGAGTTGGGTAAGGAATGGAGAAGCACCAGAATCTGATTCCAGGGAATACTATGGAATCAAAACACTTGAGACTAACTTGCATTTTCCCCCTTAAATCACATTTTCTCAGTGTCCAAGTGACCCAATGAGAGGGCCCAACTGGATCTAATATTGATATTCTAATAGGTTCTGAAGTCGCTAGTTTCAGAAATGTGTTGATTGTACCTAAGTAATTAATTGGTCACATATTTAAAAAAAATTGTTTTAAAGAAAAAACAACAAACACCCACCACCATCTGTTATGCCCATTTCATTTTTTCTGCCACTTCCTACTCTCTTCACTCTGATTGCTTCAGTTTGGTCACTAATGTTCACTATTTTTATTTTGGTTTGTCTGTCCATCTGCTTTGTTTTCCTTATAATTCACATATAGGTGAAGGCATTCAATATTTATCTTTATCTTTCTGACTAAGTTCACTTTGCCTAATCCCTTCAAGTTCCTTCCAGTTGCTAAACATGGCAAGTTTTCATCTTTCCTTCTATATTCCACTGTGTATACATGCCATGTCTTTATCCAGTCAGAGGGTACTAGGTTGCTTCCATGTCTTCGCTGTTGTAATAATGCTGCATAAATACTGTGTTGCATATAACTCAAGTTGATGATTTTATAGTCTTCAAGTAGTTACTCAGAAGTGGGATTATTGGATCATATGGTAGTTTCCTTTTTAAATTAATTATCTTACATCATCATTCATTTTTGTATAGAATTTGATTTGTGCTTTTAGGTGTAATCCCTATAGTTCTCCCACCACCTTACCCCTGTGCTGTTTCCTCCACGGTTTTGACTCCACTCTCTGACCATGCCTTGCTGGATGCCTCAGATCTATAGTCAATTTGCAGATTTTATGTTTTTTCCTGACCCTTTGGTTTCTCTATATTCTGCATAGAAGTAAAACTATCTGATTTTTTTTTTCTCCTTCTGACTTATTTCACTTGACATAATCCCTTCCAGCTCCATCCAGGATGCTGCAAATGGCATGTGTTTGTTTTTGATGGCTAAGTAGTAGTCCATTGTGTAATATGTACTACGTCTTCTTGATTCATTCCTCTGTTTGGGGCCTTTAGCTTGTTTCCATATCTTGGCTATTGCAAACAGTGCTGCAATAAACATAGGAGCACAGGTTTCCTTTCAAGTTAGTGTTCTCTGGGTAGATTCCTAGCAGTGGAATTGCTGTCATCTGGCAGACCCATTTTGTAGTTTTTCAGTTTTGAGTGTTCTCCACACAGCTTTCCAGAGTAGCTAGGCCAGTTTACATATTCTGCAGCAGTTTAGGAGGATTCCTTTTTTCACCATCACTTGTTTCTATTTTTAAAATATGGGTCATTCTCACTGGGTGTGAGGCAGTGTCCCATTGTGGCTTTGATTTGCATTTCCCTGATAATAATTGATGTGGTGATCATGTTTTCATATGCCTATTGGCCTTTTGCATTTCTTCTTTGGAAAAGTGTCTTTTTACCTCTTCTGCCCCTTTATTTTATTAGGTTGCTTGTTTTCTTTTTGTTGAATGTGTAAGCTCTTTGTAAATCTTTAATGTCAGTCAGGTGTATGGGTACAAATATTTTCTCCCATTCAATAGGATGTCTCTTTGTTTTGGTTGCTGTCTCTTTTGTTGTGCAGAGTTTTTAAATTTGATGTAGCCTAGCTGTTTATCATCCCCTTTATCTTCCATGTTTCTAGAGATAGGCCCTCCAAGATGTTTCTGAGATTTATGTCATCGAGTGTTTTGCCTATGTTTTCTTTTTTCCCCTAAGATTTATTTATTTATTTATGCATACAGAACTGGGGTACAAGCCAGAGGTGCAGGAGCAGTGAGAGGATTCACCAGAGAAAGAGTGGGGAGCAGATCAGGCAGATCGATGAGTGCACTGCTGAGGGGTGAGACAGGAGAGGTTTGCTACGCCATGTGGGTCACCTCCGGGGCCGGGGATAGAACTCACACTTGGGCAGCTGCGGCCAGCTTGCAGTGCTTGGTTCTAATGGTTGTGCCACCAGGCAGGGCCCTTGCCTATGTTTTCTTCTATATAGTTTATGGGTTGAGGCCTTCCACCCACGTCTTTTATCCATTTTGAGTTGATTTTTTCTGTATTGTGTGAGGTACTAGTCTAGTTTCATTCTTTTGCATTTGTTGAAGAGCCTTTCCTTGTGATAGAGGTATGGTTTTATTTCTGGGCTTTTGATTTGATTCTATTGGTCAATGTGTCTGTGTTTGTTTCAATAACATGCTGTTTTTATTATTAGGGATTTGTAGTATAGTTTGAAGTCTGGGAGTGTGAGAACTCTATTCTTCCCATTTTTAGTCAGGAAAGCTTTGGCTACTTGGTTTTGTTTTATTTTGTTTTTTAATTTCATATGAATTTCAGCAATATTTGTTCCATTTCTTTGAACAATGCTACTGAAATATTTATTGGAATTGCATTGAATTTGTATATTGCTTTTGGTAAGATGACCATTTTGATAATTTGATTCTTCAGATACATGAACAGGGAATGTTTTTTCCATTTCTTCGCGTCTTCTATTTCTTTTAACAAAGTTTTGTAGTTTTCCTTGGATAGTTCTTTCACCTCCTTTGTTAGTCTTGTTCCCCAGTATTTATTTTTTTGGGTACATGTGTAAGTGGCATTTTTTTGTACACTTGTGAAAACTTAATCCTTCCTTTTCAAACTGATTGCATATAGGATAGCTACTGATTTTTGTGTATTTATTTTATAAACTGCTACTTTACTAAACTAATTTATTGTTTCAATTAGTGAATTTTAAAGGATCGTCTATATTATATCATCTGCAAATAATATTTTTCCTTCTTCTTTCCCATCTTGGATTCCTTTTATGTCTTTGTTGCCTAGTTACTTTAACTAGAACTTCCAGTACTAAACTTCCAGTATTAAAGAGCACTAGTGAGGGCCCTCCCTGGTGATGCAGTGGGTTAAAGCACTGCACTAAGAAGCTTAAGCCACTTCCGCATGAGTTCGATCCCCGCCTGCCCCGGAGGTGACCCACATGGTGCAGCAGACCTCTCCTGTCTCACATACTGCTCCCCTCAGCAGTAAAACTCAGTCCATCTGCCTGTTCTGCACTCTGTCTCTGGTGACTTCTCTCGTGCCCTGCACCTCTGGCCTGGACCCTAGCTCTTAAATGCATAAATAAATAAAACAAATCTTTCAGAAAAATAAATTTAGCTCTATGCTTCCCAATAGCCAAAGCAAAAAGAAAAACACCCAAGTGAACCCATTTTAGTGTCTGTTTCAAAAGGAAACACAGTGTGTTAGTTTCTTAGTTTTGTTAAGTTTCTAAAAGGTGACTTAATAAGAATATTAAGAATCTTTTTTAAAAGATAAACTACTCAATAGCATCACCACCTCCCTAGTAGCAACCACTTGTAGGGCCAGCAACTGTGTGGGCAGAAGGGATTACTCCATTTAAACTCTTATGAGTCATTCTTTGAGGGACATGGAAAGAGTGTTCATGTCTTCGCAGAACTGAATCAAAATGTAAGGGTACATTGGGGAATTGTGCGGTTTTTCTTTGTTTAAAAAAAGTCAAATTGTAACTCATTTTTTTCTTTTTTCTTTCTTTCTTCTTTTTTTTTTTTTTTTTGATACCACAGGTCATCTATTTCCTG